TCTGCCCCCCCCCCTCAGAACTCGCGAACGGTATATCGTAGGACCACCAAATTTTCAGAGGATGGTGTACTAGTAGAAATTTATCATATGTACAATTTTTATGTTGTTGTGACGTAATATGACGTCATTATGACGTCATTATGTGATTTTATTGGCCAAAACCGTCTAGATAGGTTATTCCCTGAAAACTAAACAGTATACGACATAACTTCACCAAAAAGTGTTTATGACAGAATATTAGGATGTACTAAGTCTTATGTTGCCCATAGCAACACCGGTGACGTCATAAAATGACGTCATGCATATATTACCTATCCGCCATCTTGGATCATTAATCTTGAATTTTCAAAAATAGTTTTTTTTTCAGGATAAAGCCTAAAATACATTGTAAACAGACTAAAGACGTTCATATGAACCTTTTTTGTAAAAAGAAATGGGAGTATTGATGAAATTTTAAGGAAAATAAGCTGTGTTTACCTGATCTAATGATATGGTCCGCCATCTTGGATTTCGGCCAATGACGTCATCAAATTAGCATAAATTATGCATTTTTAATAATGAAATTTACATATAATTATATGTGATGTTATTAATATTAGAAACAATGTGTAACTTGACATAAAACCCATAAAATTCTGTTGTTTAAATGGAAATTATTATATTTGGCAAAAAATGCCTGTCAGAAACCCGTTGCCATGGCAACAAGAAAAATCATAATCTTATTCCACTGATACAGATTTGTTGCCAACAATATTTTAGGAAAAGTCACCAAGTTTGGCGGTTCTAGCTTTAGCCGTTCAGACGCTATGTGACATCAAAGTTGCCGCGGGCACTTTTAGCCCCCCCCCCGGTCTAGATAGGGTTAAGACTCCTTTTACAACGCAAGGAAGAAAATCGGATGAAATGTAATAGTTATAAAATATTTCAATGCAATCGTAGTTACAGATACTCCATTGAGGCATAACGCTCCCTATTAATAGCCGCGGTACCATCCGGATTTTCGCTCCGCAACGTTCGAAAAATTGTGGAGCGAAAATCCGGATGGTACCCAGGCTATTAATCCGGATTTTCACTCCGCAACGTTCGAAAAAATGTGTGATTTTTTCGAGCGTTGTGGAGCGAAAATCCGGATGGTACCCAGGCTACCCTATTAAAACCCTTGTCCTGCTGTGCGCACTATATGTCGCGCGGCACATACAGTACCATCTATATAGCACCCTGTATAGGTATGATTTGGGGGTATTTCTCGTGCAACGCATCACACCGCAGAGAAACGCAACGAATGCGGAAGTGACTATGCCACTGCAGGGCAAAAAAAATGGGGGTCTATGATCTAATTAAGACATGGAATTATTGAAAAATATTGTGCCAGGAATGCCAGCAGGACAAGGGTTAACATCATAGCATAATGTATGCTAGGAGTACCTTTAAGAAAGTATACTGATTCAACATGATGTTTATAACATATCCCATATTTTGTATCAGCTGATGAAGCCTCTCCATTGGCGTTGTGAACGCTGATCGGAAAACCGTCCGACTTCCTCAGGAATCTTCGTATGTGCCCTCGGCCCCAGTCGATGTCCCGATCGGTGCCGACGATCTCCGAGAGAGACCGAGCCACGGCCCGATCAACCGACGGTTCGACGTCATCACAGAAGATGCAGAAGAGGCGGAGCTTTTCTCCAGATGTGACTTTAACCTGTAAAACAGATGTCAAATTCAAATGAACATCAAAATGATGTGATTTTGATGGAAAAGTTGAAAAAGAATGTAACGTAATATGAGTTTTCTTTGAAAATTTGCCAGAAAGGTGAATAGTGAAATTATGGTGAAACTAGAAAAGTAACATTTGCAAAGCAAATGCATAATGTTTACCTTTGGATATGGTCTGCTCTGTTAATTCTTACCCACACACATTCGCATACATGTATATTGTGACAGGAGTCTAAATGCCTACTATGAAATTGCAACATTATGTAACCCAACACCAGTTACCATGGTGACAGACGTCAACAAAAGAGGCCAGGTCAGAGGTTAGTGTTTGGAACAGAAGAAGAAGAAGAAATGGAGCAAATACAATATTTTTTCCTTCGGTAAACATAATAATGTAGACGATCCATGTTCCAGAATTACACAAACAGATAAGAAAGAATGATTAACGATTGATAAAAAAGAGGGCGTTGTTTTTCCTATGGCCCAGATAGAGTGACAATGTTTAATGGGCAGTGACCAAATGGCAAGGACACGCACAGAATGAACAATGAGTAAAAAGACAAGGACACACATAATGATGACAAATAGCGGCGTTTAGCGTTGGTGTTCCCTTCTCTAGTATCTGCATTTCATGATTCAGTTTTCCCCGTAAATTCTCCGTTTAAATTTGACATGTTTTATCTGTAGTTACATCTATTTAGAACCGGTGCAATAGCTCAATTGGTAGAGTGCTCGCTTTGTAACCGGGAGGTCGTGAGTTCAAACCCCGCCCGGGTCATACCAAAGACTTTAAATATGGTACACACTTCTTTCTCTGCTTAGCACTCAGCACGTATGAGAAAGAGTGTGGGAAGGTCAAACACACAAACACTACCAGTGGACCAGCCCCAAGGGCTACAGATATGGATATGGGTACCACCCCTACGCTCTGCATAAGGGCACGGGAGACCTTTTTTTTTTCCTTCACATTCCTTGAAGCTTTTCTGCTAAATTTTCAAAAAGTCACATTTGTACGGAGACTTAGAACAGCTACATGACATACAGTAGCCAGTTCCTGTAACAAACTTTCAGTAGTCGGTTCTCAGTGTAAGGACGACTCCCATTCTGTGTTTAACTTAGCGATCTATCGCGCGCAATAGGTAGGTTTAGTTCCTAAGTAAAGCCTCGGTCACAACCCGCCATACGTGCTTTTTGTCCGTCCGTTTTTTTGAGGCTACGTCTGCTACGTTTTTTTCTGAAAACGTGGGGAAAGAGTGGCGTCGACGCACGTACGGATTCCGTACGGAGGCGGTACTCACCACGCACGGATGCCCTACGTTTGCCCACGTTTTTGCACGTAGACAGCACGCAGAAGCACGTACGGCGGGTTGTGACCGTAGCTTAAACCGGCCCCCTGTCTTTGGTGCCGGAGGGCATACATGACTCAGGTTCTGTCAATTTTTTTTTCCAAATAATCTTTATTGAATTTTCAAAGAATAAAGACAAAGGACATGTTCACATACAAGAAAATAAATACCCAGAGACATTTGCAAACAATACATCAGTCTAACAATTTACCATATAGTGGACCCCATTTCAACATATGTTTATCCATTTTCCCACAGGGACTGTCAATTTGCCTGCCATAAATCTAAAGTTCATTTACTGAAAAGAAGTAGAGTGTGAATGCACAATGGACAAATGTATACTATAATCATAGCAGAGCACCTAAAATCATTTGTACGGTGGCTTGAAACAGCTACATGACATACAGAAGCCAGTTCTTGTAACAAACTTTCAGTAGTCGGTTCTCAGTGTAAGGATGACTCCCATTCTGTGTTTAACAATAACTTGATTGCGCAACAATTGTACAGTGTACAAAGTATGGCATCTACTAACTTAAGCAAGTACATGTCAACTTCATTTTCATAAGGCTAATGTAATACAAAAGTGGGTAGCTAGTAGAAGATATCAACTTATACAATCGTTGGAGGAGTTTCTAATATCCACACAGTCTTTAATATATATTCCTATGTATAGCATGTAGGGGTTGTCACAAGTCAATATGTATTTAAATTTTCTTTCCAAGTTCATTGTGGTGAATGCTGGGAAAGAATCTGATAGTCTAGTGTATAGTGCATTGCGTATATTAATGTATTTAGGACACACAATCAAAAAGTGATATTCTTCCTCAATAAGCTCTGGACAAAATGGACAAACCCTCTGGTCATTGGGAATTTTATGGAATCTTCCGGTTTCTATACTAGGTTTGTGACAGCCAATTCTGAGTTTTGTGATTGCGCTACGTACGTCAAGTCTTTTTATATTTGAAAGGTAGTTTTCTTGTTTATAGTGTTTGTTCAGAGTAGAAAGAAAGGAAAGTTTGGAATTGTTTTGAATATCGCAATGCCAATTTTGTATATAAATATCTTGTAGTCGTTGACTTAGCGATCTATCGTAGCAGGTGGGTTTAGTCCTCAGTAAACCGACCCCCTGTCTCTGGTGCCGGAGGGCATACATGACTCAGGGACTGTCAATTTGCCTGCCATAAATTTAAGGTTAATTTACTGAAAAAAATTGGAGTGTGAATCCACAATGGACACATGTATACTATATTTATAGCAGAGCACCTAAAATCATCGCCTTTTTACATAGATCAAATGGAGTGTGGTCAATGTAAACGAGAAAAAAAGTGACAGGTGTTTTCAGTGGCAGCCACACAGCCAACAGACTGTATAACTCGTTCCTCCACTGCACAATCAGACTGTACAATAGCCAAATGCAGACCTAGTGTTCTTTTGTTTCATGCCCCACTCTGTATGTAATTGTCTTGTGCGTTTCTTATACTAAATAATAATGTAAAGTCCACACAATTGAGGAATACTATGTACCCCTGCTATGTTGACTATTCTTAATAAAATTGAAATATTAGGATTGCACTAATGCACACTCGCAACCCTATATCCTATATGAATGCTTTATTGAAATAACGTGCTTACCGTACAGGTTATACCGGATGAAAACGCCACGACAACGTCAGGAGCGAACTCGTACACTCGCCCGTTAGACGCCGTGCCTGTCCCACTACCCGACACGCAGTAATACACATGGTTCAGGAGGGGGGAGGGGGGCGATGTCAGACACACCGTCTCGCCCGGCTGGAGAAAGACATCGTAGGCGGTGTAGTTCATCCCATCCTCGGTGGCGACAAGCTGCTTGCCTCGGAGATTCGGATTCGGTAGAGGGACCTCTACAAGGTCGATGGAATGGCGAACGATCATGTTCAAACTTGGTTCAAGAACCGCAAACTGAGTCGTTTGAATATTGCACTGTGACAGTGAGTGACCTGATGCGCCAAGTTAAAGGTCAACATATAGATAGCTGGCTGAATTTTGATTCTATGCGACAAGTTGGGAACCTAACTACCTGTATGTACCAGTCTATGATTAAATATCGGTCTTTGTGTGTGTGTGTGTGTGTTGTGTGTGTGTGTATCTCTGTGTGTTTGTGTTTCTGCATATATGATGTGTGTTATGGTGACTTTGCAATAGAGCGCTGGGCGCCTTCTGGTAGCTGGCCTTGGTACTGCAGCTTTTGTCGCTCATACAATACATGTTGTACTGCAGAGTAAGTTGTAAGAACACTAGCGTTGTACTGACTTTCTTGAATGGTGTAATAAAATGGTGAGTATATTTACCTTCGCCAAGAAGGTTATGTTTTCAGAGGCGTTCGTGTATGTGTGTGTGTGTGTGTGTGTGTGTCTGTAAACACGATAACTTGAGAAGGCTTAAATGGACTGACTTGATATTTGGTAGTTGGGTAGGTCTTGATGAGACCTCAAAATGATTAGAT